AGCAGCAAATCTTTGGCGACGGGTCAGCCGGCACCTCTGTCTTTCGGGCGATGTCCTTTACACCCCACAGTGAGACTGAAATTAATAGCGTGACTTTTTCGATTGTGTCATTCCTGGGGTAAAAGGACAGCTAAGCGTCTACGCTCAGAATGTTCAAAACTACCGCGCACTCAGGAATTCTACCAAGGCAGTGGGGACGCGGTGCCGGGAGCGGCAGTCTCTTCTTCCTCGTTCTGATTCTCCTCTTCATTTTCGTTCGGCTTGTTGTTGGCACTCTTTGCTTTGCCCTTTCCCTTGGCCTTGGCCTTTGGGCGCTCCTGGCCCTGAGAACCTTCAGTCTCAGTCTCAGCCTTGCGTTTGGTTCCAGCTGCAGGCCCAGCAGCTGCGTCTGCACGGTAGAAGGTCGAACCTTCAGTCTGCATTTGGGTCAGGACGAAATTCGTCAGAATCATTTCCAGCTTGGCCGAATGGCTTTCCGACAGTGTCAGCCCGACAAAAGGCACCCTCTCAGCCACACAAGCTTTCGCCAATTCCCCTTGGCAACTGGAGAGGTCTAACCTTAGAGAGCGATAGGTGGTTCAAGTGAACCGCCAAAAAATTCAATGAAACGACGAGGGATTCACGACCAAGACCAGTTCCTAAAAATGTCAAGGGACACCGCTTGGACGCTGTGAGCTTTCAAAAAGCTACGGTAAAAGGCGCAGGGCAAGGTAAGGGCGCTGAACACGCTCTCGGTGGACACGTCCTTCTCCTTCTGGGCGGCCGCTTCCGTAAGGGACACGGTGCGGTCCCTTGTCAGACACTCTTCCTTTTCACTCCTGGATGTCAGACACGTTTGACAGGACGTGAATTTAATTGTTTTGTTCATTTTTGTTCATTGAAAACTGGGTGAACATGACTTTTGCTTAGTCCTGTTCAAATGCCAAAGGTCTTCGGGTTGCAGTGCACAGACCGTGGCAAAGATGTCCCCCGTGTTGTGTCCACTGAAGTCCGGGTACGGTTTTTCCGGCAACATCTGGGAAAGATTCGTGCTGGAAAACACGCTCACAGTGGTTTTGGCACTGTAGGCGCCGCGGCACCTTTGTTTCCGACTGCGGATCGAACTGTCCGAAAAAATGACTGTGATGTCTTTCTGCTCCGCTTCGATTGGCTGGTCCTTGCGGGCCGTTGCCGGTCGGAACAAAGACTCAGCATCTTTTCCAGAGCGGTCAGCGCCGCAATGGATGACGACCACCTCACCCTCAGCAGGACAGGTAGCTTCATCGCCTTTGCGCTGAGCATTCCTGCCAATCATGGCTCCGTGGAGCAACTTTTTGAGCAAAGCAGGCTCGGCCACAAATTTCTTCCTTAGAAGAGGTCGCTGGTTGGGCCCCATGCTTTCTCCCAAACCGTCCAGATCCAAGTGAGTCAGGACGCAACTCTTGCCACCCTCACCTTGGAAATCTCGCAAGGAAGTTTGGGAAACCAAGCTGATGACCCCCTCCAAAGTTTTGGGCTCAACGGGGAAAGAACAGTAGGTCCTGACCGTCTGGTTGGCCACTGCTTTCCAATATTTTTCAGACCCTTGGGAATGTTGACTCGGCGGCTTCCTGAGCTGCTCCAGCTCGTTTGAGGTGTCAGGGGCAGACTCCGCAGCTCCTACTGCCAGGTCCTCTGCCGCCTTCCTTTCCGCTTCTTCGTTTTTCAAAGTAGCCAGCACTTTGTCCCACTGTTCTTTGACGAGCTCGTGTTCCAAAACTGCTTCAGGAGCACCCCCGGCTTTGGCGGCTTGTCTCAATCCGTTGTCGTACTTCTTGCCGTACGTGAGATCCTGGCGTACGATTTGCGAAACAAAACGAAAAATAATGACGAGTCTTCCCAATACGCATGCAAAGCTGGACCTGCCTCCAAAAGGTGAAAGGCTTCAATGGCTGATTTCCTCAAACGCGCCATCCAGCTGCAGTCTGCTTGTCCACTATGCATCCTGTACGTGTCATGACGCGCTGTGTTGGCTTTGAGCAACACTCGATCGGCTTCTGACATGCCGCTCTTGGGCAGTAGAATGTCGAAGAAGTAGTCGAGCACCTGGCAAGGAGGAGCTGTATTGGGGAAATATGGCTGGATATATTCTCTTGGAAGATATCCGGCCGGGAAAAGCCTAGCATCACCACCCGTCACCCCCGCCTTCTTCTTCAGTTCGAACAATTGCACCAGTCCAGTTTGGTGTTTTGCGCCAGCCAAGGAGCTGTTGGAGATGTCTCCGAGTTGGAGCAAATCATGCGCCAACCAATCGACAATAGACTCCAAGACCCAGTCTCTCATCTGGGTCGTGCTTGGCTTGGTGGAGGCGATGCGCAGCCGACTCAACGAGTGAAAGGGCGAACGGGTCCCGTAGGACGTCTCCAATTCAAGGAGCAGCTCAACCGCGCGAGCCGACGACAAGACGCCTTTCTTCACAGCCAAGGCTTGGCTGATCAGGTTGGCGGTGAGCCTGCCCTCATTCTCCTCGTCTCTTTTGCCTCCCTGCACGCTCTGCAATCCCAAGGTGCTAAATTCCTGCGCTAACTGCGCGGGCGAAAGCCTGCCTTTGCAAGAAGGAAGCTCCTCGCACATGGTTTTGAACTGATCGATTTCAATCGCAGTTTGCATAGCGGTTCGGGCCATGCTTTCATGTTCCTGTTTCAAGCTTTGCCTCCTGTTCCACGCCTGGACCCAAACCTGGTCAGGTTCGGACCCAGAAGCGTCTTTGAACGCGGCAGGAACGCTCAGCAGGACTGCGCGCCACTTGTCTCTTCGCAAGGCCCATTCCTCTGCTGAAAGCTCGTCCTTGCACCTGAGTTGAGTCCAAAAAAAGTCTGAAATCAAACCTCCCCTCAAAACTGAAAACATAAGATTCAATACCGAAGGCGCCGGATGCACAGAGCGCACGCGGCAACGAGGGAATGCGCAATTTCCTCTGGAGAAATCATTTGAAGGTTTTGTGGCTGATTGCTCAGAGACTCTTTGTTGACCATCAACTCGACCATCCTTCCGGTCAGAAACTGAGGCTTTCCCGCAGGAAAGTAAAACTCAGACATGTCCATGACTCTTCTTCTGGACATAGGGATGCCGGGAGTCGGGGAAGAAGAAATTTGAATCCAGAAAAGTGGGATGGAGCAACGGTACACACCGTGCAATTCCAGAGCTACCTTTCCTTTCGTCAAATCGTAAGGTTCTTGAACCCCCGTCTTGCTTCGATCCGTTTCCGAATCAGACAAAGGCAACGGCTTTTCTTTCTCAATACCTGGGAACTCCTGCAAAATTGTCTTGACATCTGCCTCCAACTGCGCGTAATACGCTGAGTTGGTTGGGTCAGTGTCTGGCGAAGCAGCCGCAGCTGCAGGGTCAGCATCCTTCTTTGCCTTGCGCTTGGGCTGCGCAGGGGCGGAAGGTTTGGCCGATATGGCCAAAGCTGCCTTTTTTCTCTGTTCACAAGCCACCGCCTTGCGAGTTTGTATTTCTCTCTTGACATCCTTTTCCACTTCCCCCCTTTGAACTCGGTCCTTCAGCTCTTGTTCCTCCGTTTTGTTCAACCTCCAGGCGGAAATGTTGGGGATATCGGCTGTTGCCACTGCTGCCATGCTACAGGTCCGTGGACACACACACACAAACGTTTGGAGGCAAAACGAGCTGAGTGGAAGCATACATTCAACATGTCCAGATGAGGCGTCGAGAAAGGACTACAAGTTCAAAAAAATTGAGCAGTGAATCCGGTAGCGCACCATGCTGCGAAGTATAGCGGTTGCCCAGTAACGTGGTGGTTGTAAGGCTACTGGGAAAACCCTATTTGGCTTACTCGGTCCCAGCCTAGGCCAGACCCGGGTAGTGATAGTAGGATGTGAGTTAAGCATACTATGGCAATCATCCCCCAATCACGCCTGCAACGTTCAACACCTACCTTGCTCGGTTCCAGCCCAGGCCAGGATCGAGGAGGGAAACTAGGAGAACACCAGTTGCCTTCCGACTTCCCCGTTGACGATTTTAACTGACTTTTTCCACTTCAGCTGCGCGATTCCAGCCTAGGCCAGACCCGGGGAAGGCCGGCGACGTATAGCCGTTGCGCGCCCCAGTTCGCTTAAGTCGTGCCAGGGCCAGGTCATTTTGTTTTGTTAAACAATTCATCGCTGAGCTTTGCAGCCTCTTGGCCACATCGTACCAACGTCCAAGGGCTCTTAGCCTTGAAGTTGGCCAATCCACCAACGGACAAACCGTGCATGACCACAGTTGCTAGCACATTGATGCTCATAGCATCGCCGATGCTTCCTTCCACTGTGCGCGCGGGCATCCGATGGATTGCGGCTGCGCCTTGCGTGGCGTTCAAAATTTGGGCGGGGAGTCCTTGTAAAGAAGCAGCCTCCAAGGTCAACAGGCGGCGGCGAAGTTTTGGTATATAATAGCCATCTTGGCTCAACCGAGTCTTGGTCAGACAAGGAGAGCAATTTGTCATGACTGACTGAAACCTTTCAGATGACCCGACATCCAAAATGTAGCCCTTGGTCCACATTTTCTCTCCCAATAGGAGTTCATATTTTGGCAAGTGAAGCTTCTCCGAGCCCGCCACCTCTTTTTGAATGAAGTGGTGTAAATCCATGCGGTTGGGCCCGCCTTCTGGCACGGACACCTTACAATCCGCACAGATTTCCTTGGCCACAGCCAGCAAATAAACCCGTGGGCGACTCTGCGGCACCGCAAAGTTTCTCGTGTCCAAGACTTTGAAGTCTATCACATAATCCAGCTGTCGCAAAATTTTCAGGACGTAATTCCACACCTTGGTGTATTTCTTTTGCAAAATCGCTTTCACCTGTTCCAAAACGACCACCTTTGGGCGCCATAGTGCCACGTACTCCAACCCCTTCAAGGTTAAGAGGCCCCTGCGGTCATCGACGCCGGCCTGTTTCCCGAGATTGGAAAAGCTCGGGCATGGGTAGCCGGCTATGTACACATCTGCGTGTTTCATGTCTTCCGGTTTCCGTAGAAACATGTCGATGGGCCTCAGTCCATCCATGTTCCAGCCGCAAGCTTGCGCGACTGCCTGGTAAAGGATGACCTTGTTCGCGTCAACTTCTGACATCATCACCGGGCGCACCCGGGCCTTCAAGCCTAAAAGCCTGTACGCGACCAGGTCTGAGCCATATCCTGAGCAGTGACCAGTCGTTTGGCGCGAATGCTTCCTCAATCGGTCTTGCCAATCAGACGCCAAGTCATTCACACGCAGCAGTTGGGCTCGCAACTCTGCTTTGGTCACTGGGATTGTCTTCAGGGATTTCTTCTTCAAATGGGCTTTCCTCGGCGCACTTTTCATTGTCACTTGTCTTGAGCCAAGCGTGCTGCCTAAAAAACGGTGGAAGACTGAAAATCAATGCCGTTGCGAAAATAGTCTGACCTGATGAAGCAAAGGTCCCGCTATTTTTTCCCGCGAATCTTCCCCATCGCAGGTTCCACGTCAGTCAGGCCTATGGTTTTACACGGGCGCTTGCGTTCTTATTCAAGCAAGACGTGCTAAGCCAGCGAAGAAACTCAACTGAATTAAAGCATTTCACTTTGGTTTTAGCAAACCCTTGGATGACTTCCCCTGCACCCCGCAAAAACAAGCTAGGCTTCAACCCACGCCCCTTCAAGTCTTCAGCTCTCACTGCACGCCATCCTCGTTGGCAAGCTTCCCTGAGCAGCAGCGTCAGGCCTGGCTCCTCGACCTTGAACGTGTCTGAAACGAACACCGCCACTTGCAAGTCCTGTCCTGGATGGAAAGCAAGTTTTGTTCCTCCTTGCCCCAGCAGAACTGAGGCAGACAACACAACACCGCCGGACAGAGCAGCCATGAACCGAACTTTCCGTTCCACGGTCGCGAAGTCATTCACAATGAATAGCTTCGCCTGCCGCAGGTCCTGCAGAAAGAAGCAACAGTAACATGATGTGTCAGATCATGCACATGGATTCAAACATTTGAGCAGTTATTACTTCTGATTGTCCTCTGTGAAGTTGGTGACCGAGTGCCCCTGGAGCCGTTTGTGGAGCTCCTCTTGCGGCCCCAATTTCTGACAAAACCAAGCAGGGCCAGTCAGACCCTGGCAAGCCCAGTCGGGTGTCTTCGTTGTTGAAGTCAAGTGTCCACCCAGCTCGTAATCGCGCCTCTTCTTGGCACGCTGCTGGTCAGCTTGCTTGTTTGTCTTGGCAACACGGACAGCCTCCGTTCTAACGTCCTCCGTGACTTCATCAGGAAGCAGCAGCCCATCAGCTAAGGCTTCTGCTTTTCTCTTTAAAGCATGTTTCCTTTGAAAGTCACGTTCTTTCAGCGCAGATACAGTCTGTACTGCAGACGGCTTCCGAGGCGGCGTCGTATAGCTCTGCACTGCCTCTGCCACAGCTTGCTTCCGGTTGCGGTTCCAGTGCGCAAAGGTGCCTTCTCTGCAGCCGCCTTTTGTCCCGCAATCGAACCTGACGCGTGTCCGCGGACGGGCCACGCCGGAATGCAAAAGAGAAGCATATATTTGTCGAGCGTCTGTGACAATGTCTGCCATGGCAGCCACGGCTTGTCCATCGCCCATCACACACGCAGTGCGTCGGTCAGTCTCAGCGGATGCATTGGAAAGCTCCACTGGACTTCTTTTCAATTTGGAGAATACTTGTTCCACCCCGCTGCTGGCAGCTGTCCAGCCTTGGTACGGAGCAATGACTTCCCTCAGGGCCGAGTGCTCGTGCCTCTGGTTTTGGGCGCCCTTGCGGCTGCTCGTGCGTTGCAGTGCCTCCTTCCAAGCGTCCCGGTTGGACAGCCCGCCTTGTTTTTTGATTGCCGTAGCAATCGGCATCAAGCGAGCATATTGCTCCTTGAGCTTCTCCGGGCAAACCGCAAAAGCTTGGGCCAGCCTTTGCAAGTTCCGCACAACATCCGGATTTTGTCGCTTGCCTTCGTCAGCCAAGTTGAAAACTTCAAATGCAGCAAAGAGGTGCCAGCTGGGGAACTCATGCGCCACCACTTCTTCCGCAAGCGACGCCCATTCCTGGAAGAGACACATGATGAAAACTAAAAATGCTATTATAATAATTACTTACGATTTGTGATTAGGAAATTAAAATTCGGTCCTCCATGTGTGCAAAAGCTCTGTCGAGATCTGCCGGAGACACTTTGACATCATAAGCGAAGCCATCCTGAAGGATGGTGACTGAAGCCTTCCTGTCCAACAGCTCTTTCGTGAATGTTGGTAAGGTGAGAACTTGGCGGTCGACAAAGAGGGCTCGAGCTGAAGAGATGAAATGGTTTGCTCCCATGTTGAGCGTTGCCACATCCACCTCTTCTCGGTCCACTTGTCTACAGTAGTCGTTGCTGATTGCCGCAGCATCAGCAGCCATTGCGAGGAGAACTGCTTTGAAGGAACTAAAATTCTGACACAGCTGCGTGGCCCAAGCAGCATCAGCGCCTCGCATGGCTTGAACACGCCCGCAAACGTTGAAAACTGCCTGTAAATTTTTGACAATGCGGGACAACGGGTTGAAGTAGGAAGAAAAGCGATGCTTGGCTGCTGCGAGGGAAGTGCACTGGTGCCCCAGCAGGTCTGAATCCTCTTGACATTGCACTGCCTTAGCCCACCATTGGCTGAGAATGTGGCTGTGGTGCACCTTCTGCGCGAAGCTGTCGGATCCATGGATCCATTCCGTCATAATGGACCTGAGAGCTTCGCAAGATTGGAAGGGCCGCTTTAAGAGACGTGTAGACGCGTGCGCCACATCTCGACCAATGAGTTTGACGCTCGTCAAATTCGCTTGGCCCATCTGATCTGCAAATGCCCTGCGGCCACGCTCTAAGTCCCCCGCCAGAAGCTCTGACGCAGCTGCGTCGGTTACGACAATGGTGACTGATTCTTGTATCTTCCGTAGTAGTTCCGCATCTACCGGCTGCTCCTCGGCTTTGGAGCCCCGCGGAGGCTGTCGCATAGGCTGGCAGAAGCTTTGCATTAAGTCAGCAGTTGCCGCAGCAATGCTCTCAGCAGAGCCTGGTACCTCGCACATTCCGAAGACACCGTGAACCGTAGTCAGGTCCTTCAGAACTGCTTTGAAACGGACAAGAAGCTTCCCCTTGCGCTCATCTCTCATCAGTGACACGTGATGTGCTTCTGAGAGTAATTTGCGATTCCGACTGCAAATTGCTTCGGACAATGCGTAGCGCATGCGGTTTTTCTTGTCCGAACACACGCCCCCCTGCCTTGCAGACTGTCCTTGCATCATGCCCTGCAAACATGTTTTAAAGTCCTCCGCAGGTGGCGCCCCAGATATTGATAGTTCCACAGCATTGCTCTCCATTGCTTTCCGGTGCCCCTTCGATTGCTCGTGCCTGTCCAAATTATGTTTGCGCAGGCGTGCACCTGGCAGCTGCTGGAATTGCGCCCATGGTCCATCCCAACCAGCTTTGGCGCATGTGGAGCAACCAAGTTTGGCTTCGCCCTCCACCAGTACGACTCTCAACCACGGTTTTTTGTGGGACACCCAAGCTTGGTGAACTGCGCACAAGCCACACTTCTGTGGGCCCAGCTTGCAAGTTGTCAAATGTTCCTCGACAATGGTTCCGGGAACCAAATGTTTCAGTGTGCCAGACTTGTCCATGGCGCTACTTTATTATAGGTAAGCAGTGCGATAACAACATGGGAATCTGGTGTGTAAAATACTTATGTATCTCTCTCTTGCTATATATGTATTTATATATACATAATATATGTGTGTATCTTTTTCTTGCACGCATGCGTCTCTACAAAATATGTAATCGTCACAGGCAGGAGTTTTGTGCCGAAGACTGGGAACAAAAACAAAGGCAACAACAAGAGTTGAATGCGCATGACTGTCAACTGCAATGGTCCCGTTCCGGATTCCAGCTCTTTTTGTCCTTCAATTTAAGTATAAGCCGATGTCAAACACCGAGACAGGCTAAAGCGCTCAAAATTCAATCCGTAGATTGAAGCGGAGTCCGTAGACTCATTGAAGAATCCGTAGATTGAAGCGGAGTCCGTAGACTCTGAGTCCGCAGACTCACTGTATCAATCCGTAGATTGTTTTCCCAAGAAATCCGGTCGCGGCGGACGCATTGCGCCCGCAGGTGTCTTGTGCCCGCTCACTTGTCGGAACTGTCCGGGTCCAGAGCCGAAGCGACATTCAGCACACATTGCTGAGCTTCCAAAATTAATGTTCCTGCCGGCTCAAAACCTGCTTCTCGGACATGGACCAACAGGCGACCAAGATCCTCTGCCGCCAAGGTCATTTCCTCGACATGCAAATCTGCTGCCTGCTGCAGACGTGGAAACTCATCGCCCGCAT